TATTACATCAGAGATGGGGTTTTGCTGAGGTCTTGGTCTCCAGACTCGAGTGAGATGAAAAAGGTAGAACAAGTGGTTGTTCCAACAGACCTTAGACCACAGATTTTGAGCATAGCACATGATGCCAGTTTAGTTTTTGGACATACTGTGCGCGTTACTTTGCGACTTGTTAAAGAGAAATGGTTGTCAGAGATGCATCTTAATGAACATAATGTGCTGGATTATGTTAGCCGTTTTAAAGAGCGTCTCTTTCATGCTTGTCAGTTAGCGCAAGAGAGTTTATCCAAGGCACAGTCTAAGATGAAATTGCGTTTTGATCAAAAGTCTGTGGCCCGGAACTTCTCTCCAGGTGAAAAAGTTCTTGTCCTCCTCCCTTTAAGTCAGGGGTGCCCAATCCTGGTTCTGGAGGGTCGATATCCAGCAGGCTTTAGTTTTAACCCTTCTACACACCTGAATTCAATCAGCAGGTGATTAACAGGCTTCTGTAGAGCCTGATGAACTGCTGCACAGGTAATTCAACCTCTGAATCAAGTGTGCTGGAGCAGAGAAATCACAACACCTGCTGGATACTGGCCCTCCAGGACCAGGATTGGGCACCCCTTCTTTAAGTGGGTCTAGTCTGCATGCTCGGTTCTCTGGCCCTTATAGGTGGACAGAAAAATAAATGACACTATGTGATCAAAACCCCCGGTCGGAAAAAGAAATTTAGAGTGTGTCATGTCAACATGATAAAGAGGTATTTCTCCCGAGAAAATGTTGTAAATGGTCAAAGCTTTCCTACTGCCTCTGTTTCTATGTGTTCGCCGCCGCCCTCCTATTCTCTTGTAGATGACGGTTTGGTGGAGAAGTGTGGCTCTGTGCCTGTTGCCTTCACCTTGGATTCAGAGGTGATGGGAAACTTAGAATCTTTTCTTTCTTATCTGTCCCAATCTAAAAGCAAAGCCATTATCGATCTGATCAGAGCTAACCAGTCCCTATTTTCTGACCATCCACAGCAGACCTCAGTCCTTCACCATGATATAGAAGTGGAAAGTGAAAAACCAATAAAACAGCATGCATGTAGGGTTAATCCCACTAAGCGTGTTTTGATGCAGACACAAGCAGATTATCTGGTTGAACATGGCTGGGCAGTTCCTAGCTCCAACGCATGGAGTTGGCCGTGCGTCTTAGTGCCTAAGCCCAATGGTGTTTTTTGTTTCTGTACTGATTACCGAAAAGTTAATGCAGTTACCAAACCTGATTCTTTCCCGCTTCCAAGGATGGAGGACTGCACTGATCGTGTCGGCCCAGTCGTTTGTTACTAAGTTGGACGTGTTGAAAGGTCATTGGCAGGTCCCGTTAACACCCAGAGCCTCAGATATCTGCTTTTGTAACCTGTGATAACTTTCTCCAATATGCAGTCATGCCTTTTGGGTTGCGTAATGCGCCCGCAACACTTCAACGTTTAAAGCAAAAGGTACTGATTGGAGTCAAAAACTGTGAGGCCTATTTGGATGATGTGGTTGTTTATTCAGGTACCTGGTCAGAACACCTGAAAACACTGTCAGACGTGTTTAGTCGTTTCCGCCAAGCATCCCTCACTGTAAACCTCTCGAAGTGCGAGCTTGCTAAGGCTTATTTAGGGAAACAAGTTGGACAGGGTCAGGTTCGTCCTCTTCTGGCAAAAGTGCAAACAAATATTGATTTCCCTGTACGGCAGACAAAATGAGAGATGCGTAGGTTTCTAGGAATGTGTGGTTTCTATCATGGATTTTGTAGGAACGTTTCAGACGTGGCCAGTTCGCTAACTGCACTTGTGAGCCCTCAGAAACCATTTGTGTGGTCTCCTGCTTGTCAGGCTGCATTTGAGTCGGCTAAAGCGTTGCTGTGCAGTGCCCCAGTACTGGCCGCTCCGGATGCAGAGTGCCCTTTTAGGCCTAGTCCACACGTAGCCGGGTTTTTTTAAAAACGAATATCCGCCCCTCCAAAAACTTGCATCCACACCACCGCGTTTTAAAAACAAACTCTGTCCACACATACCCGGATAAATACGTTGTTAAGGACATGCCAGACCTGTAGGTGGCAGTACTTCCCCCGTTCTTAACCTCGTCCTTCGTCTGTGGTCTTCCGCAAGGAGCAGTAATTCCTCTTGCAAAAACAAACAAGCAAAAAGCGCTTGGACAATTGATAAAGCGAGCGCAGCTCTGAGGGCATCCATGCTGTCGGCTAGTGTAAACACAGGTCGCACACGTGATGTCAGCATTTTTTGTCACGGAAAGTGACGTTGCGGACCTTAAAACTCCGATTTTGTCCGTCCACATGCAGACACCCAAAACGGAGAAAACGCAGATCTTCACTTTGGCCGGAGTTTTTAAAAAGATCCGTTTTCGTGTGAAAAAACTCCGTTTTTGTGTGGATGACAGGCCAAAACGTAGAAAAATATCTACGTTTTGGCAGATCCCCGGCTACGTGTGGACAGGGCCTTAAACCTGAGGTCGATGCCAGCTTGAGTGGAGCTGGAGCAGTTCTTTTACAAGAAGATGAACATGGTATAGATCATCCTGTTTGCTATTTTTCTATAAAGCTTAACAAACACCAACTCCATTACAGCACTATTGAAAAGGAGACTCTTGCCTTGTTCCTTGCTTTGCAGCACTTTGAGGTTTATGTTGGCTCAACCTCACAACCTGTTCAAGTGTTCAGAGATCATGATCCGTTGGTGTTCCTTTCCCAAATGCGTAACTCCAATCAGCGCCTGATGCGCTGGTCCCTGTTGCTGCAGGATGTTAACCTGCAGATCACATACAAAAGGGGAAAGGACAACATTTTAGCTCATGCCCTGTCTCGGGCATGTTAGAGATTTGTATTTGTGTTTTTCCATGAATTAAACATATTTAGGGGGTATGTTTAATTCTTGGGTGTGGGGGTGTTACAACCAAGGGTTGTAAGTTGTTTTGTTTGTAAGATGCTTTGTATGTTCATAATGTTTCTTAGTGCAGATGCCCACATCTGATTGGTGAACAAGTGGCCTGGGGAGTGTCCTGATTGGATAATTGATGGGAGCAGGCCTTTAAGAGGGATGTCAACACCACCTGCAGCTGATCCTCATTCTCTGCTCATCCCAACTGGCCACCATCCACTTAGTGTCCTGCGTTGAGTGCTGTGTAAAGGCCTGTTGTTAAACTTGAGGAAAGTAGGGGTGAACCTGCCATTTAATTTCTCCATTCAGTTTTCTCCTGTGTTTGCAATCAGGGAGGTAAGTTTGGTTGTATTTCTTTTAATTTTAATTTGTAGGTAAGTTGATTATTTGAGTTAGGGGTATTTTAGTTGTTTTGGCCTTTTGGTTCACCCTGAGTTATATTTATCCTCCCTCGCTTTAAGTTCCTATAGAACTTGTAAATAAAAATCACTGTAGATAAGTCAAACTGTGGTGTGGTACTTGGGATCTGTGGCAAAATGGGAATCCACCTTCATGTTGTGGCCTGGCCTCTCCTAGACGGGCTGTGACACATCCCACTGAGGTGCCTTGATGCAGCACTCTGGGAACAGCCTATTCGTTCAGAAATGTCTTTCTGTGTCTTACCCTCTTGCTTGAGGGTGTCAATGATGGCCTTCTGGACAGCAGTCAGGTCGGCAGTCTTACCCATGACTGCGGTTTTGAGTAAGGAACCAGGCTGGGAGTTTTTAGAAGCCTCTGGAATCTTTTGCAGGTGTTTAGAGTTAATTAATTTATTCAGATGATTAGGTTAATAGCTCGTTTAGAGAACCTTTTCATGATATGCTAATTTTTTGAGATAGGAGTGTTGGTTTTTCATGAGCTGTACGCCAAAATCATCAATATTAGAAACAATAAAAGGCTTGAACTACTTCAGTTGTGTGTAATGAATCTAATATATATGAAAGTCTAATGTTCATCACTACATTACAGACAATAATGAACTTTATCACAATATGCTAATTTTTTTAGAAGGACCTGTAAACAACCCTGCCACAGCCTGCTGTAGCTAGCGCTAGCAAGTTAATGCTCAAAGGCGTCACAATTCTGTTTAAAATGACAATCACGATTCTTTTTGCTTAGAACTGAGATCACGATTCTGTCACAATTTTATTTACCAAATTACGTATTTATTGTACTTATTACTTGCACATCAGCTTCTGAACAGCTGTCCCTGAACATGAAAACAGTAAATGTCCCTCGTCGTCTCTTACGTACACAACTTTTGAATAATTCAAACGATAACAATTTTCAACAGTATTCTCTCTGCTTGTAAGGTGATGAGAGAGGTAGGTAATAGGTGTGTTTAAATTTAAACCACAATTGTTAACAAAATAGAACATTCAATATGACAACATGATTGTTGATCATGACAACAGAGACAGTCTTTTTTTATCTAACTAGCTGCTTCAGATCGTTGTCATTTGGAAATCAGATTGCGTACAAGTATGAATTGAGATTGCAATTTATTTACAATTAATTGTGCAGCCCTACTGTGATGCGTAAAAAAAACTGTAACAACTTTCAGAGAATTATTTGACGTAATTTTACATTTGTTGCTACTTTGTCTAAAAGTTTTAGAGCATCAACTAATCATCGTAAAAGTAAATACTTTCATTAAAAAATACACAAGTTCGGAAAAGGCAGTTGAGCCTGTTCTCCCGCAGCAATGGATCGTGGGCAATGCACTTCACCCAAGTCCGCAGACATGGATGAAGTGCAGATCAAGGGTGCAAAAGGGGCGTGATCAACTTCTGCAAATGAGAATCGAGACACCCTACACACTTGTACCCCCGGTCGGGATCACTCAACTTAAGGGCGCAAGAGTGGAAGTGCGAGTATTGGGATTGGGCCATAAATATTATATAAATAAAAGAAAATGTTCTTTTTGTCAGATTCGAACCAAAAATCGACCAGAAATAGTTTTTCAAGAACAAAAATATGAAATGTTTACTTAAAAATTAGATTAAAGTGATGAGATGATTGTGTCGTGCTGTTAATGATGCTTCTTTGTCTGCTGAACCAGTTTTATGCAGCCCTGCACCCGTACCGAAATCCCATACTGGGTCCAAACTCCATTTATTTATACAAGGAGGCATTTGAGGCCATCCCGTATCCCAATAAGGAATGGTAAGCTACACGTTGCTTTTATTTAGGTCCTTAATCTCACTTTCACATCTTCTGTAAGAGGGTTAACAGGGTTTTTGTTCCACCTGATGTATCAAAGCAGAATGCAGATTAACACGTGTAACATGTACGATCAGGCAGGAGTGTGTGTGGGACAGGACGTCCATGCCTCTGTCCAGCTACATGGGGTTAGTGGAGTCCTTCTCCAGTTATCAGGCTCTGCTCAGAGATGATCCACAGAAGGCCCAGAAACTGTCCGAAGACGTCTGTCAGAGGTGAACGACGCTTTGTACGACACTCAAATACACCTTCTGTGGTGTTTTTGGCCTAAACACAGTCCAGGTGGTCATCTGGTGATGGAGAAGTTATGAGTTATGACTCCACGAAGAAAGCATTTGTGATTTTTTTTGTTGGTTTCCACAGGTTGATGTCTGTGATGAAGGTGACCTCTGCAGAGACAGAGGTGACGGTGGCTGTCAAGTATTTCTACCTTCTGGCCTGCAAACCTGAAGAAGCCTGACCTCTGACTCCTCTCCTGTTTTTCACACAGACATCCCATAAATGCACTTACATTATGACTGAACTTAAATCACGTTAGTTGGATTATTTGATTAAAGTTGCAGATTACGGCCATTCTGGCTGTTTTTATGTTGAACCTATAGATTTAAACACTTACAGAACATTGTTCTCACCATGACAAGTTTGTCCCTCAACGGACCAGTAAAGGATGAGTATTTACACAGAAACCACCATGTCTACAACAATAAATCGGTTTCATATCAAACTCTTAATTTGTTTTATGCACAAAAACAAAGACTTGAGCTGGGTTTGTTTGAGGTGAATGACCCTTTTCTGCCATTAGAGGGAGACATTTGATTAAAGATCCTGTAGATCATGGCTGCCACACACAGGTTAAAGATGTGGATGACCTGATTGACCAAAGAGCCTGTCTATTGCTTGAGGAACAGTTTAATAAAAAGATGTTAACATCTACTTAATCAATATCAGTGGCGATAATCTGAAGTTATTTTCAGCCATCACCGTCTGTTTCAGCTTCCCGGAGATCGTTTGTGGCTTCCTCATCAACTCCAGTGATGCTCTGGGCTCGTTTTAGGGCAGCTTGTAAATTGTGGATTTTTTCCGTTTCTACCAAAGTTTTACCAACAACAAAGACACGATTATTGTGGAAGTTTCTCTTGGCTTTTGTCGATTCAACAGGTGCTCCAAGAGGAGAAATTGATCTAATGCAAAACTTTCTTTTCATCTGTTCAAACAGCCAGGTCACTTATAAGGCTGTGTGCGTGTGTGTGTGTGTGTGTGTGTGTGTGTGTGTGTGTGTGTGTGTGTGTGTGTGTGTGTGTGTGTGTGTGTGTGCCTTGCAGCAAGCAGGTTGCAGGTTCAACACCCAGCTGCACTGGCCTGAAGCTGTAAATTATAAGGTAAGGAGCTCTTTGAGGGTCACAAAACATCACGTTTGGATTCTCTGGATGATTTCCAGATATAAACTCCTTGATTTGTAATTGCTACAAATTTGTTTTTAATTTCTTTTGTTCCAAATCCACAAATATGGATTTGGAGAAGGCATTTGACTGCGTCTCTTGAGAGGCCCTGTGGGGGGTCCTTTAGGATTATGGAGCACTGTAGGCCCCGTGATCAGTCAAACCAAAGATACTTTATTAATCCCAGAGGGAAATTAGAGTTGCAGGCTGTTACATTCCTGCGTGACCAGTGCCAGAGCTCATTCCCGGTGAAGGCTGCCCTTTGTCACCGACTGTTCATAACTTCTACGGACAAGGTTTCTAGGTGAAGCCAGGGTGTTGAGATCTGTTTTGGTGGCCTGAGCACCAGGTCTCTGCCTTTTTGCAGATGATGTGGTCCGGTTGGCTTCATCAACGTGAGCCGAGTGTGAAGCAGCTGGGATGAGAATCAGCTCCTTTAAATCGGAGACCGTGGTCTTGAGTCAAAAAAGCGTAGGATGCCTTCTCCAGGTCAGGGACGAGGTCCTGCTCCAAGTGGAGGAGTTCAAGTATGTCAGGGTCTTGTTCACGAGTGAGGGAAAGCTGGAGCAGGAGATCGATAGGCGGATTGGTGCTGCGTCTGCAGTGATGCGGGCGTTGTACCGGTCTGCTGTGGCGAAGAGAGAGCTGAGTCAGAAGCCAAAGCTCTCGAGTTGACCTACGTTCCTTCCCTCCTCTATGGTCACGAGCTTGGGTAGTGACAGAAAAATTGGGTCGCGAATAAAAGCGGCCGAAATGGGTTTTCTCCACAGGGTGCCTGGGCTCTCTCTTTGAGACAGGAGACAGGTGAGAAGTTCAGTCATACGGGAGGGGCTCGGAGTAGATCTGCTGCTCCTCCACTTCTAGAGGAGCCAGTTGAGGTGGCTCTGACACCTGATTAGCATGCCTCCCTGGTGAGGTTTTCTGGGCACGTCCAGTCTGGGCCTCTCTGCTTAGGCTGTTGCCCCCGCGACCCGACCCCGAATAAGCGGATGCAGCAGGCTAAGTCGAGAGGCCCATACTTCCCTCTCCCCAGACACTTGGACCAGCTCTTCCGGGAGAATCCCAAGGCGTTTCCTGGCCAGCCGAGAGACACAGTCCCTCCAGCGTGTTTTGGGTCCTTCCTTGGGTCTCCGCCTGACCTGCTGACCTCTACTCGGGACGCTGTGGATCAGTGGGTGGAGTACTTCCTCAATCCTACCGGCATAGACTTTAGAATTCACAAAGACTGAATTAAAAGCTATAAAATAGCTTGATGTAATATATTATGTGTTGTAACGCTATACTATCGTAAACAGTTTTATGATTGAATACTGCAGGCTTCCCTTTGGTTGACTAAGGTTGCATCCAGATTTCTATCAAACATCGAGCTTTTCTCATCGATCCCAGCGAGGATCGATATCTGAGATGAGATCAGCTGACAAAGCGCAGCTCTCACTCTGCTTGGAAGGGTTTCTTCTTATTGATCTGTTTTGGAATATGGCCTTCTTCAAAATAACATGCTGTCACTACTCCAGTCATACATCTGGGTCGTGTTGTCTTTCTGTCGCACACAACCCTGAACCAGACTACTGGCAGCTTTTGTGTTTGAATAAACAAATCAGAGTCAGTCCTCGTTTGTTTGCTTGATCAGCAACATTCAAATCAGCGGATGCAATAAGTAAACAGACGTTCCGACGCTCGGATTGTTTAAGGGATGCTAAAAGCACACAAGAAGGGCTACATGCTGGATATGGGTCAAATGTTTAGTTAGACGTAATAGGATTAGTAGTATTAATGTTTGGCTCAAGTTTTAGGACGTTTTACCAACTAGAGACAGAAACAGTTGGACAGCAGGAGACATGCTTGTTTGACAGAACAGGGTGAGCGGACTGAAGCTCCTCCAGCTCGCCCTGGAGTCTCTGAACAGATAAAAAGCTAAGATCTGCATCTGGAATAGATGAAGCAAAGCTTTTACTTTTATAAAAAAAAAATCTAAAACACGTGTTTCAGGCTTAAAGTTGTTTTAAAAGTATTTGTCCTCTATAGGGTTAAATATTGTTGCTTTTAAGTGTAATATATTACCTTTACTTATGACCAATAAGATGTGATACTCTATATGCTAGCAGGGCCTTCAGCCGCTCTGCTCCCCAGCTCTGGAACTCACTTCCTCCTGACCTCCGTAACATTGATTCCCTCACTCTCTTTAAAACCAGACTCAAAACTCACCTGTTCCGTCTAGCATTCAAATAATTACTCTCGTTGATCCAATCTGTCTGTTTGTTTTATGCTGTTTTATCTTTTATTGTTGTGTATTTTATCTCTGTAAAGTGTCCTTGAGTGTTCAGAAAGGCGCTGTTGAAATAAAATATATTATTATTATTATTATTATATAAATATAGAATATCAACCTGCGTGGTCTTTGGATGTTTAATCAGAAGATTTTAGGATTCTTTGCTTTTTCAGGGATCAAACACACTTCGTATTAATTCAGACAGTCAGGTTTAGAAAAAGTAAAAATTTATTTTGTAAGCAATTAAAACATGACTGTGATGGATGAATCTCAGAGGATGCGTGTGATGTATGGTGATTGGTGTGTGTTCATCAGAACCTTGTATCCAGAAGAACTGAGTTCTGGGTGTGGAAAAAAAATTTGGTTTGCATTAAACAATGAAGTTGGTTCTTATCAAAACAGCATCAGACGCAATCATGTGTGTCTACCTCACCATTTCTTTGGAGACCCTCTTTGCGGATCCGGAGGTCAGGTGACCTCTGGGCACCGACGTTCCAGTCCAGAGATGTCGGCAGGCACACAGGTTGGAACTAGTTTGCATCTAGAGCAGCTGTTTCTGAATAGCTGAAGGTGTCATGTTCTGAGGTAGATGTCTAACCCAAGACATGCAGGATCAGAGACGGAGACTAGATAAAGCAGGAAAAATAATAATTCTTTATTTTTACAAAGGAGAATAAGGGCGCACTGTAGGTCCAGCGGATGGGGAGGAAACGGGAAGCGGCGTCTAGGGGAAAACAGAGGTGAGTATTGGGAATTGTAGTTCTGAGAGGGATGTTTTGGAGATGGGACTTACGATGCGGAAGTTCAGGAGGGTTATGGAGGGGGAATGAGCCGGGGTGATATCCAGAGCAGAATGGCAACGGTCCAAGAGGGTGAGTGGTGACGAGAGGAGATGAGGAAGTAGATCCGGAGCGGGAGCGTGGTGGAGAGCGGGACGGCTGAGTGGAAATAGTGATCCAGGAAGCGAACCGGTGAGAAGTCCTTACTGAGACGGAGGAGGATCCAGAGATGAAGCCAACCTGAGGTAATTTATCCAGACAAAAATCCAAGTTAAAACGAGGTTTCAAAAACATGCACAAGAGTCGAGGCTAGAGACGAGAGATATACGAAGGGCAAGAGACTACCAGTCAGTAGTAATCATCCGGCGTCGAGTCATGATCACCATCCTCCTTTTAAAACCGACCCGCAGATCACGCTGAGGAGGATCAGCTGTCGCTCCCTCTCCTGCCATCAGAAACACTCAGAGATGGTGAATGATGGGAAGAGTACTCACCCCGGCTCATGACAGAAGGAACCGTTTTGCTGTGTCAGCTGTAGGCAGATTTTAGCTTGTCGAAAGCTTGTCAAGAGATGCGCTGTGAGCAGAGTTTCCCTCCGATGGCCAGTCAGTTAGCTCATCTAACAGAATGCTGAATCTCACAGAATGCTGGAATGCTGAATCACTCCGAAAGTGATTCTGTTTTAATGTTCTCATATTATGATTTACTTGGCCAATCGAGAATTACCATGTTAAGAGGTGTTTACAAACAAACCTCAGAACATCACGCCTTCTTTCAGATACAGGATGCTCTGATTTGTGGGTAAGAAAATATTTATGTGGAGAAATTACTTTAATTTATATCTTATGATCATTGTGTATGTGTGTAGATAATGATTCACTTATTAAATCAAACGTTACTGATCATAATATCATAATATTCATTTCAACCACAGTAATTTAAGCACAGATTAATCAAAACATTTCATTAGTATTCATATGACATTTGTTCATTCAACCATATTATTATTTAATGATTATTTAACTTATGAGCTGAAAATAGTCACTTTATTCAGAGGCATGAGGATTCCTTTAGAAGTGATAAGGGAAGCTTAGGCCTTGAATGGGAACAGTTTGTTGACAATACGTTGTCATGTGTTCAGAGCAAGCCTCCACAATGCGGCTCTAAAAATGGTCCCAACCAGGAAGTAAGAAAACTTGCAGTTCCACCCTCATCCACTGGGGGCTGGTGCCAGAAGCGAGCAAATCCTCATTGACTCCCATGTTAAAAATGCAATTTTCACAGCAGAAATAAACATGTTTACAGCCTGGTACCAAAACATGTTTTTGGTTTAAATGATCTAGTTCACACTCATGACAACTCTGAGGGGGGTGAATTTTTTCTCACTCTTCTGTTTAAGTGTATTAAAAGCCTAAAATTCTGTATAATTAATGAGCATCCGACACACGTGACCGC